CCATTATCTCGTGATTGATCTTGCTGATGGCTTGGTTCCCGCCTTGCTCCGCGCGAGGCTAAAACATTGGTTGTTTCATTTGCACCGTAAACAGGGCCAGTTTTCTTTTGATCTCACCTTGTTACCTCTTGTTATGATGTTGGTAGCAACGTACGCTCTTTGAAGCTGTGACGCACTGACTTCTGCGGGGTTCGTTCCAGCTGCATTAAATTTAGTTTCATTGTTCAGCGTACTATTTTACTCTAATCTGCGGGCTTGCCTAATGAGTGCACTGTATCGTTAATATAACAATGTTCTGGCACTCCGGTTGATCATTTACAGCAGTACGTTCTGGTACTTTCTTTACAGCTTCGGCCGCCAAGTGCCCGTCGGTCACTGGGCTAGTTGCTGAATTCCTGTACCTCGGCCATGTTTCTATCTGACGGGGGCGAATGTCAAGTTCCACTGTTGTACGGCCTAACGGGTACAACATCTGACATTTTTGATCCGGCCTCGTGGAGTGTATCTGGGGATCGAACCTACGTGTCTGGTGCAATGGAAGTACGCTTTATCCATGCACAAAGGCCATCAGCCAAGTGTCATCACCTTCAGTTCACATGCCTGCTTTGGGGGGGGGGGGGGCTCATGCATGCATATGTTGAGTGTTTGGGATATTTTGGCCGTTGCCAAAGCACAGTATCGACCGTATTTCGTCCTCTGCCCCTTTTTCTTACTACGCTGCGCCGCCCAACCTATCTCACCTCGTAGGCACAAAGTTACTGGCAGTGACAGTGAGATCCTGACAGTTGCTGTGCTGTGGATTCGTAAGCTTCTGGCCACCGTTCACTCCTGCGATGTCCGTTTCACGTAGCCCCGAGTCCAACCCCGTCGGCTGACAGAACGCTCAGCCGTTCGGAACATGCAGCTGACCTCGGGTGACCCGAGCGTTACGGCTCATGCGTCATGACCGATCGCCGTGTCATTCGTTGGCGGCCGCGCTCTTCAGCACCGGCATGCGCCACAAACATTACCAACGGAGCAACCGTCGCTGAGGCAGGTTCGGCGCTTTTTACACGACGTGAGCGTGCCGCCGTTCACCGCGTCAAACGAAAGGGGCCGCACCTTTCATTCACCATCGCCTCGGCAACATCATTAAGCCAGCACGCCTCGCGCGCGGGGTCAATAGGACAAACATTCATTAGCGGCGGGTAATCTCGCGTCACCGTAATGCGATACACCAGAGCGCGCACGCCGCTCATGGAACGCTTACGAGTGAGCGTACATCCGCGAGAACGAACACAAATAAAGGGGAGCGAGCTATGACATCATTACAGCGATCAGATGATGTGCACGTCTTTCGGGCCCGTTGTTGTCTAACAGCGGTCGTTTTATCAGATTTTTTGTTCGGGATCGTTGCTGATGAAATGTAGCGAGACGGTCTAATGACTGGTGTAACTTCCTTATTTAACCCAAAGTTACGGGAATATTTTGATTGACTAACACTCCAGACCTGCTTTGGTTGCATGGAAACCCATGTTCTGTGTTATCACTGTGACAGTAGTTTTTTGGCCTTTGTTATGTGGCTAACAACCACGTTCCAGAGCAAACACCGGGTAGATGCGTCTTTGTTGTTTGAGCTGAAGCAGCGTACGCTATTGTTTCTGACGGCGTTTCGACAAAGACCCGCCTCTGAACAGCATCTGATCGTTCGGCTTATTGCGCCAGCGTGTGCGGTTGAAGAGGAGCGAGTCGCGGGCTGACCGGGCGCCGCTGCGAGCGAGACGACACAGGGCCGTCCGCAGAGCCAGACATCTTGCCCCCCCCCCCGAGCGCCGCTGCGAGCGAGACGACACAGGGCCGTCCGCGGAGCCAGACATCTTGCCCCCCCCCCCTCCCTCCCCGAGCGCCGCTGCGAGCGAGACGACACAGAGCCGTCCGCAGAGCCAGACATCTTGCCCCCCCCCCCCGAGCGCCGCTGCGAGCGAGACGACACAGGGCCGTCCGCAGAGCCAGACATCTTGCCCCCCCCCCCTCGAGCGCCGCTGCGAGCGAGACGACACGGGGCCGTCCGCAGAGCCAGACATCTTGCCCCCCCCCCCGAGCGCCGCTGCGAGCGAGACGACACAGGGCCGTCCGCGGAGCCAGACATCTTGCCCCCCCCCCCCCTCCCTCCCCGAGCGCCGCTGCGAGCGAGACGACACAGGGGCCGTCCGCAGAGCCAGGCGTCTTGCCTTTGTTAGCCCGCTCCCGTCGGTGCTGGTCAGCTTACCAGCCGCATGGCTCCTGCCGAGCCCTGTGCCGAAGAAGCTCACATTGTAGACGTATATATTGTGACACATTGGTCGTGAAAGAAGTGTTAGTGTCCTTGCAAAGTTGTGTATCTGCAAGCGTTTAAATGTTTTGTTTGGATGCATTTTCGGGCCCGGGGCATTCTCGCACGAACCGTCAAAGATAGAGCAGTCCAAAAGTCCAGAAGATAGAGCAACACCAAGGCCCACCAGAATGAAAATTGCTTCAATAGTTCGCCATCTAAACGCGGCCAGCTGTTCCCAGCCTCACACTAGAGATGAACTCATACGGAAAAAGAGCAAATGAGCGATTCGACAACGTTCAGAACAACACGGACCGTTGGCCACCCAGACTGGCTTGATAATAACTTTCACACACATCGCCACATCTTACATGTCTTGTGACTTATGTGTTTTGCAATTTTTCCATCAAACAGCCTACATTTGTACTGCGCTGAACAACCTGAAATGTGTCCATCCCACCTTTTACCGAATATAACATCACACCACCATCGCGGCGTGGCACTGATGCCGTGATGCTGCAGCGTAGCGGGGCAAAACCCGCATTACCGATCGCGATTTTTCGGTTTCCTCGAATGTTTACAGATGCTGAATAACAGTCTTCAGATCTGTTTTGACCCCGTCGCCCTCATCGCGGTGGTCGTTGCACGCAGCCCGTTGAAGAATGAGGTAATCAGAAACAGGCTAATGCCTTCGTCCTTGCCTTGTTGCGCTCGAGCCTGTATCGATTGAACGGCATGAATACCTGATGATGTGAGCGACGAGGATGGTTGTGGGATGCGCGCCACACGTAGCTAACGACCGGCAACATCGGTTGCCCTGACACCGCTGGAGCGGCGAGATCGGACGGACCGCCTGAGGCAGGGCCGCGCGGGTGGCGGCCGCCGCTGCTCCCGACTCCCCAGCCAACGGTTCCACTCAGACTGAGGCAGGGCCGCGCGGGTGGTGGCCGCCGTTGCTCCCGACTCCCCAGCCAACGGTTCCACTCGGACTGAGGCAGGGCCGCGCGGGTGGCGGCCGCCACTGCTCCCGACTCCCCAGCCAACGGTCCCGCTCGGACTGAGGCAGGGCCGCGCGGGTGGCAGCCGCCGCTGCTCCAGCCCCCAGCCTCCGGTCCCGCTCGACTGGCTGCCGTTGAAGGACACGTGACACGCGGCAGGAGCAGCCTGGCGATGGTGTCGGCGGTGCTGGCCACGGCCGCGGTGTCGTGACAGAACCACGATCGCGGCGCTGTCATTAGCTCGGTGTGGGAAACGTGTAAGGCCCATTTTGTACTGGTTGTGGTTGGCGTTCTTTGTGAGCTATTTTAGAAGCGTTTCCGTAGCAAATCGACTGTTCTGTGTGTAGCGCCCACACGCCGGCCTAATGATGGCTAGGCATGTGTCGACGTAAGGACAGCACAATAGCAGTCTATGCGTCAGGGCTCTGGCAGCCCGAACATGCGACCCGGCGTCTTGTGGTGCTTTCCTGGCCCCCTGCAGCGTCTTACCTGTGACACCACCGATTTGTGCTCGGTCGCGCTTGGACGCGCTCGACGCCGACTACCCCCCCCCCCCCACACACACACACACAGGGGGCTGAGTTCGGCTTCAGGTTTGGTCTTCACTTAGAAGGTCCACTTAGTCCCGGCTCTCATCCGATAACATGTCTTTCCGAGTCGGATCTGGACGATTTGTTTTTAGTCACACTTCTTTCAGCCCTAACGCATCTCTGGCTGCATTCAATAGACTTGACTTTATTCCAGCTCCCATCTTTTCTTCTATTTTCAGAAATTGTTTTGCTTCCATTCCATCAAGGTTCAGTTAATCGTGGAGTGGAAGTCCCTGTGGCGACTCCGGCTTTCTTGCCCACGTTTTACTTCTCCACCGGAAGAAGCTGACGTCTGCCTGCACTTAGCAGTGGCCACAATGTACCCGTGCATTATTCAAAGCCCGCCTCCCAGCAAAGATCGGTTTGCGAATTCCCACAGAATACGGATTGCCCCCGAAGCGAACTGCGCCGGAATATTCGCAAATGCATCTGCGTTCGACTCGGTTCGGTGCCTTCGGGCCGAACGTTGCTCTCCAACATTGCAGCCTGATGCTATATCAGTCTGCCTCTTCCTTCCTCCCCCTCCCCCCCCCGCCGAGACAAATCCGAGACCGGTCGCTGAAGTTGTTTGAATAAGAAGTGTGTTGGCGTCATATGACCAGGGTAGTCGGCGCGCCCTAAAGCCTAAATCATCATCACCATCATTATGGCGACGGCTCTCCGAACAGGCGGCGGCTGCTGACGGCGGCGCCGGCCGTGGTGCGTGTGATCAGGGCCGGCTGCCGTTGACGCATCACACGCAGCGGGTCGCGACGTCCAGCTGTAATGTGAGCCTGCTGACACCAACACGTACACACGCACACAACAGAGACGGCGACGGGCGGGGCGGCGCGCGCGGCCGCCGCCCCCGCGCTGACACTGCTACAGCTGTCGGCGCGGCCGCCAGCCTGGCCCGAAGGCGCCGGCGGCGGCCGTCCGGCGCCCGGCTGGCGGACTCGCGCTGTCCGTCTCCCGCTGGCCCGCCACCTGTGGCCGCCGGCCGCGCTGCCTCGCAGGGCGGCCGTGGCGTGCCAGCTACGACGTTCGCCGCGCGTCTCCGGACGCCAGGACGCTGCTCCGGCGTCGGGCGTGGGGCAGGCGGCCGTGACGTGAGGCAGACGCGTCAAACATGAACACGAGCCGGTCGGCCGTGGCGAGCGCGGTGCGACTCGCATGCCGTCGCAAAGTGAGCGGTCCGCACGGTCGGTGGTCGCCTGGTCGACGAGCCGGCCGACGACGGACGGGATGTGACTGGGCGCGACCCTAGAGCGGCGAGCCGCGTACCACAGGTCGCTTGGGCACGCCGCTGGCGCAGACGGCGCCGACCGAGCGGCGACAGCGGGACGTCAGCGGTATGTGCTCCGTCAGCGTCGAGCTGCTGCGCGAGGAGACGGAGCGGCGCGGCCCGCAAAACAGCGAGCGCACAGCGCGTCGGAAGTTCTGACCCGACACACAGTACAGCAGGAAGTTGATGCCGAAGTTGAGCTGGAACAGGCTGTTGGCGGCGGCCTGGGCGACCACCAGCCAGACGCTGACGTCCGGCGTCGAGCCGGTCAGTGTCTGAAACGGACCGGCACACGGTCAGACGTGCAGCGTCCGCGGCACGCAAACCACGCGGCACACTCCCAGCCGGCGATTCGCCGCGCTTTGGACGCCAGGTCGGAGCAAAATGCTCGTGACAGCGTCCTCGTCCAGCTGCAGCGGCCAGTGGCATGCGGTTAGTGGTACAGCATAAGTTAGCACAAGCTGCGGGTTCGATCCGCTCTATAATGTAGGCGACGTCGTGCAGTCCTTCGGAGGACGGGCTTTGAACCCACGTCAGATTTATTTTTTTAGAGGCGAGGGATCGCCAGCCCTTATGCGCTTTGTGCGCTGCGCTTGCAGCCTTTATACGTGACCGACATAAAAAGACGACCAGCACGGCTGACTGCGGCGATCGACCACTGCCAGGTGTGCCCCGGGGCTCCGGTCCGTGTCTGCGTTGGCGACGAGGACTGCCCTGTGCCTCTGTATCCTGTCGCCGCCAACGCTGCACCAGAGCGGCAGTCTCTGGGACGTGGCGAGCGGAGGCTGGGCGCTGCCGCCACTTCGGCGGTCAGGCCGCCGTGATACGACAGTGCTGGACCGTGTGTTACTCTGAACGCTGCTGCCTCCCCCGTCGAAAGCTACGTCTTTAAAAGTGTGGTGATAAAATGGATTAAGTAAAAAAACGCTCGAAATTTGTCACGCGCTGGCGGCACCCATGTACTGCCAACTTTTTCGGTTTGAATGCTGTCGCTGTACAGGAAATATCCGACCCGCCGACCACTGCATGGATCAGTTCCAGCTCCGCCGGCCGAGGCTGTTTGTCATCTGGCTTCAGCCATAATCTGGTAAATATCTGGTCTATACGCATTCTATGTACGCCCACAGTGATCCAGGTTCGGCCATTGCCGGTGCTGCGCTTTCCCCCTTGAATTTGTTGTGGCGTATGCTTCAATGTGATTGATTCTTCGGCTGAATGAACGTCAGAAAAATGCCGGTTGCTGATTGTGCGGCAAACGGAATTCATCCTCATTCGAAAACGTAACGTATCATACGGGAAGCTGTTACGTAACTAACAGCGAAGGGTCCTTTCAAAATCCCCAGACTTGTGGTCACAATCTAATCGAATGGAACCGGCAGGATGTCCAGCGCCAGGTGGTTGTAATGGCTACCTGACAACCGAAATTGTTCTTCACCGTGGATCCGCGTCGTGTCTATGTATGTTGATGTGAAATGGGCGCAGTTTAAACATTTAGACACAGCAATGTTGAAGAAAAAGTAATGCGTCGTGCACGAAAAAATAGTCGTAAACTCTAACGATTTTTGCGGTCTGGATGAAAGATTGCTTTACGACTTTCGCCGCACTGTCGAGCTGCATGGGAAAATCCCGTATGCGTATCGCACGTTGTTTGCCTAATGATCTGTTGACACGGACGTCTTTTCATGTGCGTCGTACTCGTATCAATAGCAGGTAACGCCAGAAGAAGTGGTATGTAAAGACACCCGGGGGTGCTCAAATGGGGATGGAAATGGCCTGTTCATTGCAAGTGGAGATATTAGGCCCCAAGGCCCAAATGTTCGCTGAAATCGTCCTTAATGTTTAGGTACACAAGAGAGCTGCAAGTGACAACCACCTCTAGCCGGCTCAAAAGGTTGTGATAAAAGCTGCCAGCTAAGCATTACACAAAAGGCGCGATTGATTCCCTCAGGGAGACTTAAGGCGAAACATATGGCTAAATGCTCGATTTATTAGCACGAAGCGCTAGCGTGCGGTAAGTATACAGGTTGGGTGCAAAAGTGCCAGGTTGCGCGGTCAGAAGTGGAAAGCTAGCAGATCATTATCACCAAATCCAAAGCGCGAAAACACCAAATCGATTAATACTCCGTGGCTTAGTAAGGGAAGGGGGAGGCAATGAGGCAAAGACCCTTTCTGGAGTCCAGGCTTGCCCCCCCCCCTTCCCCCCCCTGACGGCTTAATGGGCCCGCTGAGGCCGGGTACCATCGGATGGGCAGGAGCATCTGTATAGGCAAGCTGGAGCCCCTCACAACTGCAGTTGGCTGTTTTACAAGAGGACAATGTGATCTCTGCAAACAGGGCTCAAATTACAGGCTGGCTGGATAATTCTCCAAAGGTTCTTTATGAGGGCCCATACCGGCCCTTCATGGGCTAAACCTGGCAGCAGGTGATCCTAAACGTTCCTTCAGTAGGCCCCTGGTGCCCTGTAAGGGCATCCGTCAGATCGGCAGGAGCACTTGAAAGGCGAGCAGGGCCTATAAAGACGGCCAGTGATCGGAATCGACTCTGTTGGTTTGATAAAGCGACCGCACCGAAGTGTAAGTGGCATGCAAGCAGAGGCTAACACGTGACCTTTATGATCAGGTGTGAAAGCGGTATGCTTTTAAGCAGGCTAAGAGTGTATGGCGGATCCGTCGTTCTGTCCCCTCAGTCCAGATCCTTCTGAATCCGGTCCGATACAATCCTAGTCCGGGGTACAATCCTAGTCCGGGTCAGTCTGAGACTGACCTAGACTGTGGTGGTCTTCCCCCCTCCATGTTACCTCATGAGACGCGCATGGCGGGCTGGGCAACAAAGACGCAGATATGATGAAACCAGTTAGATTGTCACGAAAGCAAAGCTGTTGTTTCACCCCAGTCGTTCGTACACCATTAGCTCTGTGGGCAATAATGGACCTTGGAAAATGGTCATTACGAACCGCGGTACCTGGCTGCACAAACAAATGCGACATCATCATTCTTCAGCCGTCGTTTTACGCGCATGGCATGACGTTAACTACATGGCCCTCCATTTGTCATGAGGCCCCCGATCAGACTTGCCCCACGCCCCGGGGCGAAATTCTGTTGATGCCGCTGCAGAGTTCGACCAGTGGCTGCCGGTTGGGAAGGTTCGCCTGTGCAAAAAATCGTTTCGACCACCATCCTGCTTAAAAAACTTTGGGGCGACGCCTCAGGCGTCTGCTGAGGGGGGCGTCGCTTCAGGTGTCTCCTAAGGCGGGTGTCGTCCCGGGCCACGGACATACCGTTCAGGTGACGTTATCGCGAGTGAGAAACCATTAGCGTAGTGACAAGGACGTACATGTACGGCTAGGAACACAGTTACATAACAGCCTTCTGCGTGCGGTAAAATAGGGATGAAATTAATGACAGGTGTTGCGGGTAAAGTGCTGCCGCTGGTGGGCCGCGAAGAAATAACCGCAGATAGGTTATGCGTGTCTAGATCAATGAGCGCTATCTGTGAGAAGTTGTATATTAGTCTCGGAATTTAGGTCAATAAGCAAGGCGTTTTGCGTCGAAAGATCCTGAAAACAGCTCCCAATTATGTTCTCTTCTCTGTTCTGTTCTGTTCTCTTACGATTATGCAGGCAAGAACCTTTCCCCGAAATAAAGTGGCAGATCTGCAGTGCAAGTTAATTCGGGAAACTTTCAGCGCCAGCCAGTGATGGATTATACATTTGTTCATTATCTGCGTCTGCTAAAGCGCAGATATTGTGTGCCGCGTGCGATAGTCTGTGATGTTAACTTCATGGTCCGCTAGAAGTCCTGCACGTTATCTGGAAGCCTGGCCCATCAACACAAATGACAACGATTGCTCCATGAGGTCGACGTTGAATCTATGCTGCCTGTTCAGGTCTGAGCTAGGCGCCCCAATGGGTGTCCGTGTTCTCGCTGGCTGACCGGCTTACTGTCTTGCAAAGCCCAATGGTGCGACAGCGGACATGTTTCAAGACATGTACCGAACTGAAATCTCCCCGCCTCGAACGTAAATCATCGCCGACGTCCGCCCCGGGTCGCGGCGGCGCTACTCACTGCGATGAAGGCCCAGATGCGCATCACGTAGAAGGGCAGGTTGAGCATCAGGAAGACAGACGACACGATGAGCAGCATCTTGGTGATCTTCTGCTGGCTGTTGGCGCGCGGCGTGCCCTGCTCGGCCGATGTGACGTACATCATGCGCCGCACCAGCTCCAGCCGGCAGATGGCGCGCGCGATCTGCACGTTCAGCAGCACGATCAGCAGGAACGGCAGCACCAACGTGGCCAGTACGTCGGCGCCCATCAGCCAGAAGCCGACGCTCGGGTAGCGGTCAAAGTCCACGTCGCAGACCACCTGGTGGCGGTTGGCGATGGCCGCCGGCCGAATGATGACCAGCGTGTACGTGTTGGAGACGGCCGCCACCGCCGTCAGGCCGCCTACCAGCAGTTTGGCGCGGTGCACCGTGCAGAAGCTGGGCCGGTGCAGCGGGTAGCACACGGCCACGAACCGCTCCACCGTGAAACCGACCACAAACCAGGGACTGAGGAAGCTGCAGCAGCTGGCCACGTACTGCGTTAGCTGGCACACCACCGGCTGCACGAACAGCGGCACATCCACGTTCTCCAGCCAGGCGACCAGCTGGGTCAGCAGGAAGCCGGTGTCGCTGGCCGCCAGCGCCGACAGGTAGTAGCTGGACGACTGGCCACGCAGCTTGGTCAGGAACAGCACCAGCATCGACGCCACGTTGCCTCCCGTGCCGAGCACCACGATCAGCGGCGTGTAGTAGAACTGCAGCGGGTCAAGCACGTGCTGCAGCGTCTCCAACTCGGATGGCATCTGTGTGCCGTTGGCGGCGGGGGCCAGCGACTGATTAAGCATCAGCGCCCTCATCGCCGGCGCCGCCTCGCCTCCGTCGCTGTCCATGGCGGTGTGCAGCTCCTGAGCCTTGCTCGCGCGCGGGCGGCGAGCGCCGGGGCAGCAGCAGCGCGGGTGTAGGGCCGCGGTGCGCGTCCGTGCCCCGCCGGCCCCGACGGAGCAGTGTCGGCCCCGATGCGGGACGTCGTCTCCCGCTGTCGGCGCAGGCGTCGGCGACGGCGGTGTTGAGACGGCGCGCCGGCGCGCAGCTGCTGGAAACTGGCGCCAGATGGGGACCGAGCGACATCCGTCCAATGCCAGCCCCGTGGGCCTCGTGGAGTGGCCAGGAACGTGTTGATCTGACACACCTTCATATCTGCGCTCACCCTATTACGGCTCACGTGTGGCGGCATTCGGCACGAGGCGGGCTAGAGGGCTACTTATGCCATCCGCTCTTGTGCTCCTGCTGGGCTTCTTGACATCCCCCGCCCCCATTCACACCATATGTGATCAAGATCATGCATTAGTCACACTTCCCCGCCGCGGCGCTGTGTGGCCAGACATTCCATCATTCGGACGCACGGACGGACGGCCGCCAATCCATCATTATTCCCCGAGCCACTCCAAGGCGTATGCCGCCTGATGAAGCCACGCCGAAATTTATCGCCGCGTTTGTTTGACCAATTCACCTGGGATGACGCAGGGTGGTGCGGATTGAACTTTGTCATATTGATCTGACCTTGTCACGCAGCTGCTCTTGGGTGTGGAACGCTGTTCTTTGTTAAAGACGCCGACTCTGTCGCCGCTGACCATGTGTCGCGCCACCTCAAATTACGACGTAAATAATCGTTGCAACCGCGGCACCCGCCGTGTCACATCTGCGTGACGTTGAAATGTTGCAAAAGCTCTTTGATTCCTTAATGCCGTCCACAACTATGTAGCATGACGTCTCGATACAAGGCTCAAAACTAAATGCGTCTCGTGCGCCATATGTGTACTTCTTGAGCTCTGGCCGCGATTGATTTCCGTCAACTAAACTTTGCTCTGGCGGCGCAGGCTGACCCGAACCGACTTTTCGCCGGCTTTTCGTGAAATGTTGGTTGGGAACGCGGGAAAACGGTACAGGGACGCAACCACGATGGAAGCAAAAACACTTTGAAGGCATGTTATTGATAAGCGCTGGCAGTGCATCGCACCGCTGGCGGATGTTCAAACCTGGCCACTTTAGAAGAGGCTAATCGCTCGCTACCATTGGAAAAGCAGCACCATGGAGCGGCTCAAGCTAAGCAGGCTGATCAGTAGGCGCCAGACACTAGTCCGCAGGCCACTGCCAGAAACGCCTTTAATAACGTATGAGGACCTATTCCACATATGGCGTGTTGGGGCAAAAATAAAAATCGTGGTGATGCCCACCTACGTGATCTACAGCTTTTGCCACCGGTGGTGTTGCAACTGGTGCTGGTGGCCCGCACTGTGGAGTCATGTGACGTCAGAGCCCAATCTGCTGTCTCCACAGACCTTCCCTGGTGGACAGACATGCTTTCCGGTTAGGCAGAAGTCGGGGAGCGGGAGCGGGCGGTAATCATGCTGTCTCCGATGACGGCGGAGTTGACTTACGGGCGCTCATACACGTGTGGTTTGGGATGGAAATAATGGGATGAGACATGGATCGTCTCATCAGTGGAGCCCTGTTTGGGGCCACCCATAAAGGTTACCCGTAAGCGAGTTGTTCTTAACGTGCGCTGACACGCGTGAAAAAGCGTGAGAAAAGTATGACGCATGGAATATACCCGAGATGCTCAAATGCCCATGTTCAAATTGATGTAGAAGACGGCTGGCTTCGTAAGGTTCAAATGTCCGCTTCAGTAGTCTTGGAATCTTCAGCAGTGCGAGAAAGCTGTTGCCGTTAAACCACTACTTATCCTCTACACATGTGAAAAGAATAGGTTGCGTGCCAGACATTCAAACCCACAACCAAACTTCTTTGGTTCCTTGCTCTTGTCCACAGTGATCAGACATGAGATAAGACGTAACGTGTGCTTGTAGCTAAAGCACTAACGATGGCAGATCGTGAAACATGGCGGCTCATGAAGACGGAGTTGTTACGCCTAGGCTGCCGTGGCAATGTGCCATGGTAGTCATACTAGCCATACCGGACTGACAGAGCGACGCTTTTCTGTCAGTGTACGCTATATCATCCATACCGCAAAAGGAAATTGGAAAACATACACCATGAAAAGCACCGCTCACCAGTCATGATGTATGTGGATGCTCTATACGTAGTCCCAATGAACTGCTGAAAGGGGGTAGGAGCATTGTATAAATCTTGACAGCACGCATATGAGACGAGACTTATTGAAAGATCACCATTCGGAGTGAACATGTTTATGATGCATGCCAATCACGAAGCTAGGGACTCAAGTCGGCGTGAGTATAAAGGGAGTACTCGACATTTGTTTGGGGTTTTGAACTGGGATACTCATTTTGAAATCATTTGGGGCAGTCAAAAAGCCATGAAATTGAAAGGCTTGAAATCCTCTGGTTTCTGTACTGGATGTTTGCGAACTTGTGCACACTTTTTACGTACTATTTCAACTTCACGCAGGCATGCATGACGCCATGGCAACGTCGACGTGAATACTGTCACCGCGGTGGCCATGAAGTGCTTAAGACCAGGAAAAATATGCTCATTGAGTTGTTCGCTTATTGGGTACGTCAGCACGATTTCTGGCATGAATGTACTTCAGTTAGCCCTCAATCAATTAAGCGTGTTCTGTGCAAATTTTGAACACGAATCACGTGCTGTGTTGCATGGTGCAGGAATTTATGTAAAGGTACAAATTATGAAGGAAATAAGACTGGGAATCGAATAACGCAAGCAAAGTGTCACAACCGAGTATGTGAATGTAAGTAAATGATATGCGACCATAGATAAATATGCAAGCACACCACAAGAAAGCCAAATCCCGGCACACGACGATATTCGGTTCCGCAAACACGCTCCAGCAACACGCGGCCACCTCTCGGCAAGTTAAACACTAAAAGTGAGTCAGTCGGTCCGCTACAATGGGAATTCTTACACGGCCATTATGGAAGCCACTCAGACGTCATAAAGATGTTGCACGACGTAATCAAACGATGTGCTGTACAACACATTTGCTGGATAGGGAAATTTTGTTGTCTAGGGCATTTTTCTGATGATCTCATGCTTACCTCAATGTCTCCAACTATGAAATATTTCATTAAAAGCCTGCCCATTCCAGTAAGATGCAACAGAATCGTGCACCACCACATCATTAGCGGATACATTATCCCCGCCTGTGCCAAGCGCGAATGAGTTTCCCGAGAGCTTTTGAACCAAGCGGTGGTGTGAGCATGGATGTCACCGATCCAAGAAGAGATTGCAGTTCAGAGGGCGTCCTCGACGCAACCTTGACTGCTGATGGAAGTTGAGCGTGAAGACGGCTTCCGCTGCCATAATCTTTCCTGCCCTTACAATGCGCTCATCTCAGAAGGTGAAAACCTTACCAGCGCCGACGACTGTGGTCACGAAATAGGTGTAGCATGCGTGGAAACAGACCGGAAAGAGACCCAGCCCGCACAAGCAGATCAAATGAAGCGTAGTGCAGTCACTGCTCTGTACTATGATGGCACAAGAGGAGGAAGGTCTTGGGATAATATCTAAGCGTCCCGAAACACGATAGCACACCTAATAACCAACGATTTCTGACGCGGATTGAAGCTTTGGTGCTCGTTTCTACGGGTATTAATAAGTGGATCGTTTTCCATCATGTCGGCGAGCTGCAGCTGCTGGGTTAGGAAAATTGAAGGATGATAGTGCACGAAAATAATATTGACGTGTTTTCATCTGTGATGGAAAAGCACCAACACCGCAATGCGTGACGTAGTCTTAGAGCAACTTAGGCTGACGAGAGGAAATAAGCATTTTGATATGTACCACTGCACAGATTCAAACGGAAGGTGTGCCAGAACGCGTGCCGAGCTGATTGGTGCTGATCATTAAATGCAACTGTAGGATCAGTAGATCAGTATGTGACAGTGTAGACCGGTGCGATGCCAGACTACGTGCAGAGAGGCAAGCCCACTGGTTGGTGGTGGTGGTAGGTTGGTGTTTGAGGGAGAGTCAGCTTCCGGGCCATTTTGCGCCCGATACCTGCTAGATGCTTGGACCAGGTTGGGAGGTAATGAGCATGCAATTGCACGCGCTACTTTCTAATGGATAGTTTCGAAACGATAGGCATCAGAAAATGCCGTCTAGTGCCAAAACAATCACTGACCTTTAACGCTATTTCCTGTTGCGCGAGTTGGGTATCGATATATAAGCATTTTTGACCCAAGTGGGCTCTTTTTAGCCAGTGGTACCACGTTGCCGCCCAAGCGACTGGTTCTAAGAGAAAAATGCATTTTTGTCAAATCCTAGCGCGTGTACAGATGGTTTCATGCCCGTTCTTTCGCTAGTAATATTTGGTTTATACGGGGCTATTGAGTTATACGGAATTGGTAGCGTCCCGCACAATACTGGTCGAGGTGATCCGCAATGTCTGCATTCGTCGGCGCTGAGCACGCATGTTTTGTTGGTGTCTTTCCTAGTTGGCAAGATCGGCCGCTAATAAGGGCACCGCTGATAAGTACCGGCGCCGAGGCATTGTCCGTTTTCTATCGGTCAAACCGTGTTGATCCTGCGTCGCTGCGACTCCAGGCTGCCTTTAAATGGAGTCCGTCTGAACTCGACGTCTGGCGGTTTGGTGGCTGAAGGCAGAGAAACCCGTTTAGTGTGGTTTCTGATATAAAAGCCAAGCGCGCCTCACACAGTAACCAGAATTCTGGCAGCGGCCAGGAGTTTGGCGCTGCGCCAACTGACCCGCGGTGACGGCATCCGCCAGGCGGGAGAAAATACGGCCGGCCAAATTTTATTAAACACTCGGCGCCCCTCTCCTAATTGACAAACAGCCGCTTGACAGTTCGATGGCGTAGTGGTGCATGCTCCCTGTCCGCTTGAAGGTTCTCCCCCCGCCATCCTGTGGTGACGGTGTCGTGCGA